GGGGACAAAAGTAATTGAAATATTTCGAGAGAAAAAGCTAAGAAGAAAAAATTCGAATAAGAAATAATTCAAAGAAAAAGATAAAGAAAAAATCGTTCAAGAGAAATTCTGTGTAGCAAAAGCTAAATAAAACCAAAAACAAGATGGAAATATGTTAGCGGATCAATTCGACATCTGTCACATGAAATTGTTTCATTGGGTTGCTTTTATTAAAGCATTGAAAACAGGTTGAAAAATATATTTAACACGAGTTTTTTTCTTTGTTATGATTAGCTTGGTGTTTTTTGCGATAAAAATGAGAGTTTGAACAAGGTAAATAATAAATAAAAGAGATTTAATAAAACTGAGAGATGAGAAAAGAAAAAAATAGAAAAATTAGGTAAGATGGAAATTGAAGAAGGCTTCGATCAGTTCCTTTGTATAACATCATATTCTGTGAGGATTACAGCCACATCACGGTGAAACTCCATTCTCGTACCATCACTAAAGTTAAGCAACGTCGAGCCTGGTCAATAACTTTCAGTTTCTAGAGAGTGCTAATAATAATAACTCCCTTTACCAACTTCCTTCAAATTCGGAGGTCTGAAGAAGAAGAGGGAAAGGAATTTGTGGGCCTATGTGATTTTTTCCTTCGAACAATCAAAACCTTGCCATCTCAGAAATTGACTGGTGAGCAGAGAAGAAAGAGGAAAGGAATTTGCGAGTTTATGCGAAATTGTTTTGGGACCAATGAAAACCTTACCTTCACAGAAATTAGCTGGTCAGCCATAAAGAAAAAGGAAATAATTTTGGTTGCCTACGCGAAATTCTTTTTGATATAAAATGAACAGAAAAAAGATAAATTATTCAGAGAAGAGTGTCTGATGTCATGTAAGAGTTTCGTTTTAGTTCTTCGCAACCTTCGTTGAAATTCTTGCCATTGTAAAATTATTCGCCAAATATATAATCGGCTTCTAACCAGTACGCGGCACTTCTCTTAACAATCCAAGAAAGCTAAGTATTTCAAACTGTCTCTTTCGTCTACTTTTGAACCTATGCAAAGCATATATCCCTTCGGTGAGCAATGGACTCTCTTACATTTGTCTTAGACATTTTTGAATATTATTTTGTGTCAGGTCATGTAATCTGTTTTATGAACATTTTCTCTTCATGACAATTCATTAAAATTTCGGACTTTAACAATTCGGATTTATGTTCTTGAAACGAGCTACTGACACTACTCCATGTATGCAAATTCGTGAATAAATTCCTTATCTTGTTTTGTTAAAATTACCCATGTGTTTCCTCGTTATTATCATTGTTCATTAATTTTCTTGGTGTCTGTAAATTGTTCATTTTAATCCCTAAGTCCCACTCCCCTATAAGCTTGGATGTTCGAGTGGTGTAATGAATAATGGGATGCAATTGTTAATTGGGGACTTGAACTCCAATTTCATTTGTGTTCATTATATCCCTATACGCGCAAATACCCATGCGAAAGGTATGAAGTCACCGTTTCTCTCTCCAGTTATGGGTTAATTAGTAAAATTTGTATCACTAAGCCATTATTATCTCAAATAAATATTCTTAAAATTAAAAATATTTCCTGGCATGAATTAACCTGCAATGTATTGATAAGCGGTATTAAAGTAATAAATAAAAACTTCTTCTCTGAGTTATATTGTTTCGCTTCACTTGGAATGTGTATTTGGAATAAAACAATTCTATGAAAAATAGCATATACTGTCAGTAGCGCTTGCTTGGATTTTTGATCCCAATTTCTACTTAATTTCAAAGTAAAGAATCATAATTGTGAAATTAAAATTGCTAAATTAGTTAAAGGCAAAGAAAAGAACAGCGTTTGGTTCTTAATCGTCAACTATTTCCTACTGATTGAAGTATTATATAATAAATTTGCTTTTAGAAAAAGATAAGAAATATCTTGATTTTCTTTACTCTCCAAGGCCCATTATAGGCATTTGTATTATTACGGAATATAATTTAATTGCGCCAAAACATAAATTTTCTATACAACCCTAGATTAAACAAATATCATAAAATGCATTATTTATATATATATATATATATATATATATATATATATATATATATATATATATATATATATATATATATATAAGACCAAGGGAATTCAGATTAGCATGAATCCATCCACCTCCTATCTTAAATAACAACTTAAAAGAAAGTGTTTGACCAAGGACAGGTCACAATTCATGGTAAAAAAAATAAATAAAAATAAAAAACAAAACAAATGAAAACTACAGACAAAAGTTCATTTTCTTCATCAATACATTCATTTCTGTAGTTCACTGCTACCAGCAAGCAGACTTTTTTTTTCTCCTGATGATGGCCGAAACTAGTCGAGGAATCTAAATGAAATAATAATAATAAAAACGAAAGAATATTAATATACAACCCAGTGTGTCTGAAGATTTTAATTTTTTAATATTTTTATTGTTCAATATATATATATATATATATATATATATATATATATATATATATATATATATATATATACACACACACACACACACACACACACACACACATATATATATATATATATATATATATATATATATATATATATATATTGAGGAAAGATTTATTTAACGGGTAGTATTATTTTTGGACGTTTAAGTTTGAGCTTTTAAATTTAGTGTAGTATATTATTAATTTTATTTGTTTGTGTTGTTGAATGAGTTTAATAAATTTAAACAACACTATTGGACTTTACTTTAAGCAATAATGTATAATTAATCTCCAAGAATAACAGAAGACTCGTGATCAAATCGATCATAAACAAAAATGACATGTTCATAATTAATTAAACATAGCTTAGGGTCGGAAGTGCGTCAAGGATTTTCTTTTCTATTGCTCCTTCTTTTTTAAACTTATTCACCGTTCTCATGATGCTTCTTGAATGAACGTTAAATATGGAAGCCAGAGTATGAATGTTGGTGCCATTACTGAAGGCCTGAATGATCATTTTCCTCTCGCCATAGCTCAGTTAGAAAGACATAGTGGGTCTGACAAAAAATGTTGAATACAACCTCGTTCTAGTAATTCCGACGACGGGACCAAGCAATATCTCCCCCATCCCAGGATAACATCGGTGGCCTTGAGAGGGGATCCCTGCTGTACGGACTGTTGTCGATCCCTTCTGGACCTTTGCCACACTAAGTTATAAATACGTGCCCGATTGTAATTAAAATCCTTTAGGCATACATACTCTTCAGTTTTTTGGTTGATTGATATGTTTTTACGGTTTATCAGTCTTTTTTAGAATGTTACAATTTTTAGACCGAATAATGAATTTTACTGATACAAGTCTTACTAATTAACTCATAGTTGGGGTGGGGGGAGAAGAGGTGGATTCTTACCTTTCCCAAGAGAATTTGCGCGTAAAGAAATATGACAAATCCGACTGGAATTGGATACTCTAAATAACACATACATGTTTTGTTTTTTTTGTTTTTTCATTCAAAAATACCACTTTCGGAAAAGCAATTCATCTATATTTTAAACTGTGTTGTTTTTTCATTTTATCAAATATATATTAAGGAACAATCATTTATTGCTATTTATACGTTACAGGCGCACCGTGTCCTCTTAAAATCGAACAAGCCTACAAATTTAATGCAGCCATTTTTTCCATCGTACATGCATAAACGAAGCTGGCTACTTAAAGACTCATTCTCTATTGCGAACTTAAAGGAGGCGAGTAATTCCGACAACAGTTCTCGGCTTCTCTAAATGCATGAAGATAGCACCAAAAGAATTGGATATACTCAATCAGAAGTAACATTTCGTATTACTACGTGTAATTACTTAAATTTGGAACAGATATTGATAGAATGATAAGCAAAGCATGCCTATCTTAGTGTTCATGATAGATACTAACATACGCATGCGTACTTTCACAATTGCAATAACCGACACGACATTTCAGTCAATAATGAGCTGTTTTTCTTATATTTTAAAAATCGATGTCGAAGTAAAAAAAAAATAAAAGAAGAAAATGAAGAAACGAAAAAGGTGTTGTAAATCTAGTTTGCTGCACTTGTATTTTTATTTAACTGAAGTAATCCATGCATAGGGTTTCGATGGAATTGCATTTTACGGGATCTTTTTATTATTTGAGAAATCAAAAATTTTGTTACACATGTGCAGAGAAATAGAAAAATTGTGCACACACTCATATATCAATACACCCATACACGTATATAAGCACATACACACAGGCAATAAAATATCCATAAACAGGCATATATGCATGCACATTACACTGGCAAATACACAGTGGAAAGCACACATATTCACACACACATATATACCTGCGTGCATAAACAAAATAAGATGAAAATTTGCACAATAGAAGAAACACATTAAGAGATACATCTATAAACGCACGAGCATACACATAGACATATGAATGCATATACGCACACACGCTTCCGCATACATACAGATGTAATATGGTTTCAATGTTCGATGATATGATGTTTGAATGTGTCAAGTCTATTCAGGAACTTGGGAATCATGACTGTCCAGAACTTTTTCTTCTGAAGAGCTCAAAGCATTTTTTGTCCCTTTAACATTTCCCCAACTACATGTCCTGTCATCTGTTTATACACGCTTATTCTGTATGTTAAATACTAACCTTTGTATCCTTTTTGTTTCCATTTTCCTTATAACTTCCTTTTTGGTCACATATCCGGTCTATGGTATTCTCAGTATCCTTCTGTAGAACCATTTGTTTTGCTGTTGCCTCTGGACTTCTCTTTGTCTGCAAGGAGGTTATCCAACAATCCCTGTCATATAGGAGAATTGATATTACATAAGAGTTCAGTATTGCTTCTTTTGTTTTTTTACGAAATTTTCTTGTTTCTTAATACTTTAATTAGATTTTGAAAGGTGTATTTCGTTATACGAATATATCTTCGGATTTCCGTTTTCCATTTTCCATCATTTGATAAAACACTTGCTAGGCTTAGGGCCACATCCCGTTGAAACACTGGTTCTCATACGATCACTGAAGTTAGGCAACGTTGAACCAAGTCAGTACATAGATGGGTGACCGCTTGCGAATACCAGATGCTGTAAGCTTGGATGTGCGGGTGGCGTGAGAGATAGTGGCTCAGAATTATGAATCGGAGAGCCGAGTTCCAGTTCGTTGAGTTTGTTATTTTCAGTTACGTGCAAATACCCTTTAGAATGGTATGAATCCACCGCTTCTCTCCTCAGCTATGGGTGAATTATTAAAACTTTTATCACGAAACCATTATTATCTAAAAAAAGATATCTTACAATCCAAAAATATTTTCCGGCTTTAAATAAACTGCAAAGGGTTGATAAGCCGTAAAAAAGATCAACCAAAGAAAAACACATGACAGTTATGTAAATTTCTTGTGCGTTTTGAATTTTCAGCTCTCAGTTTGTAATCTCCTTCTTGCTAACGACTATACATTCTATCTTTTTTATAATTGATCGTTAGTCCTTTCTTCCTGCTTTCCTTTATTACCTTGTCCAGAGTTCCTGCAGATTTCTTTCTGTGACTTCTAAAATACGGTTGAGTTTTAATACATGACTATACATAGATAATAAAGAAAGTGAGAGAGCTACAGAATGTCTAAGGTGGCCAACAATGGCGAACACTTGTGTACTCGACAGAAGTCTGAAGATACGAACTGGGAGGGAGTGGTTTCAACCTTGTTGTAAGCTAATTCTGATAGTGATGAATTGTCTTTATTTAAGTTTTAATATGACCAAAAAAGTCAGTATGGTTGCAAGTGTAGAAAGGAGAAAAAAAGCCGCAGCGCTCCGAGATTCCTTAGCGTAATAGACCGCCACGTGGTGGTGAGCGGTTGCCCAACCAGTTGAAATTCGTATTCTCTATCTTCCTCTTCCTCTCGCTTCCTCCAAATAATGACGCTATTACTACTGTATTTCTCTCATGAAATAAACCTAGGAAAAAAATAATCCTAAGTGTATGTCTTTCATTCAGTCTGTGATGCAGCGTTGGGGCCTGGAGGATTGTCGACAAACCACGAAAACTCAGCGACAATACGCAACGCAACAAGAATCATGATCACCTACATCCTGAAATGACATGATCTTCTCTTAAGGTGACATTTGGATCTGAAATTAAGAAATTATTTTTATTTATTATTAATCCGTTATTCTGATGAGCTGATAGAGTTTATTTCTGAATTGGATAGATATATTCTACCGTCAGATTATTTTTTATTGATATTATGTTTATATATGAGTCTATCATTCTGGATGGCTTGAGTTTATTTAAGATACATTTGTTGATACTTCTCTTCAGTGAAGGCATATTTCAAAATTTCTTTAAACTTTTTTAGATATTGAGATTACTAAATTCAACGTCCTCTGTTGTTCTTTGTGAGGAAACACATTTAAAACATGATATAAATATTGATAAGCCGCTCATTGTTGTTTAAATTCAATCTATGAAAGATAGATGACCCGGATAACATTTTGTGAAAACGTTGTGAAAACTGGGTAACTAGTGTAGAACTTTGAGAACACGGCCTAGAGTTTCTTTGCTGGCGTATATGCAGAGACAGAGATGGTGATTAGGATTAAAATAATTGGAAAATTGCTCTACCCAACGTTGATTTACTTGCTTCCTGTATATGCTTTAGTTTCATCGGAAATGAATAGGGAGCTTTACTCTTGTTAAAATACCCCCTCTCCCCCCACAAAAAAACAAGCAATTAAAAAGAAATATAAACGGAAATCTTGTCAGTTTAATGTTGTCTGCATAGTTCATCTCCAGTCCAGTGCTAAATCTGGATGATACGGTCGGCTCAAATATTCAGCAAAATGTTGATGGCTGGTGATGGAGGAAGTTAAAAACACACCTGTGATACCTACTTACTTTCATATAAGATGACAATTTACAAGACTATTGCTCAATAATTATCTGTAAGAACCCTCACCTACCCCACAAATTATTACTAGTGTGAAGCTTTTTTCACTTCTGTAAATCGAGCAACATCCATTTCTGATGCAGTGGGACAACATAAAATAGAAAAATATTGCAATTAGACACACACGGAAAGATGTAAAATTTTTGCAAGCATCCACTAACAATGAATAGACAACTCATGACATGTATCGCAAACATAAAACTAATGAGTTATATCCACTGAAGTTATTTGTAAGTACAGTTTCTTATATACTGGATAACAATATGTGAACTTTCGTGTCGTTTCTGGCTTCACTTCTTCGGGCTCCAACACTGCATCATAGACTGCATCAACGGCGGACAATTTTCTTTTTTACTTGAATTATGTTATGAGGGTTAGTAGTTGTAGTATCTTTGCTTGGATGATGCGAGAAGGAGAGGGAGATTATCAGTAGAACGCATGGCAGCTTATTGATTAGAATATTCATCGCCATATGCTGGTTTCCCTCAATAAGGAATCTTGCAGCCATTTCAGTGTCTTCTTGTCCTTTCGGTCTTATTTCAAAAACTTAAACAAACACAATCAATTTGGTCAATTCACGACCAGTAGTTTGCCATTCTGGTCCAGACGACACATTCCGTGAAACATCGACATAAATCAAGCGTAGTTCTATGTATATTCTTTTTGTACAGTAAGAACGAATGCCTTCGGAGCCATTTCGTAAAGTTCTAGGCCGTGTATAGACGCATAAAAAATAGCTATAATTATTCCCCCAGTTATCGAGTAAGTAAATAGATTACCTGGATTACGTAGACTGTAAGCACTTGTACGCCACCTAAGTCCATAAGACAATAATCTTAAATTTAGATAGTGGAGGCGTCGTTCCTCTCGGCGGTTAAACGTGACAATAACAACACACACACACACACACACACACACACACACACACACACACACACACACACACACACAAAACATATACAGTTTTTTCGATACCACATGACCATCTTCACATCGCGTCTTTAGTCTCATTGCGTTAATCTTGGAAAAATTCTAGTAATTCATTCCTACACACACAAAAAAAAAATGAAGCTTCACTTTAAATTTCGTGGAAACCTAAGAGTAAACTAAATTCTCACCCACAAAAAACATAACATAACATTTGTTTTTGTCTGGAAGTGGTGAACATAGACAAAAATGATGGAATTTCTCTAATGAGAATTTCATTCATCAGTCTGAGAATTGGCAGCTGAAACTTACTGGGGATTAGAACTTCATTCATGGCATATCTTAATAAAGAACCGTATACCTTACTGTTCCCAGATCCGTGTGTTTGTGTCTATGGATGTCTGTGTGGGTGCTCAGACGCGAAAGAGAGAGAATGAGAGAGGGAGAGAGAGAGAGAGGAGAGAGAGAGGAAAAGTGTGAAGAAAGATGTTAGAAAAAACATTGTTTTGATTCATGTAGGAAGAAAATGAGTAACCACCGACACCGAGGTTCGAAAGTGACACTTATGAATATATATTTTCCGCCAGGTGTATAAATAGCGGTGTCAGGCTACTGACTGAAGTGATTATTGAGTGACTATTGAATGGAACTATCCAGTCGAATTAGTGTGAATTAGTGTGCGTCGACGATTTGGGTTTTGATTTAGGATTTACCGGACATTAAGCCGAGCCACAAAAAAGGTATTCAGTGAAATGGTTAATTCTCTTTGGTTGACTTTACTTCTTTGTTCTTGTTAACTATGTATTTGCGGTTGTAATTAAATACTGTTTTGTTTTAACATTGAAGTCTTGAGTTATAATTAATCATTAACGGCCACCGCACGTCGCATAAATTGATTGACTGATTTGTTTTTTACGGCTTATCAACGCTTTGTGTGTTATTTAAAGCCGAAACATATGTGGGATTGCTGGGGGGGGATTACAGTAGAACAGAAACAATTCCAGAAAAAGAGATGTTAAAACATGGAAGAGAAGAAAGAAAAATCCCTCGACTATTTCTTTCTAATGTCGTTTAACTGAAAGTCAAAAGACAAAATCAAGATAATTAATCGTAACGCAAAAATAACCCTAAGAATAATTTTCTTTGTTCTGTGTCCTTTCAGAGCGTGGGCGATCATAGCTCTCTACAAGTTTCTATCGTTCATAAATCTTAGTAACATCTGTCTTTTTGCCATAATTTCCACCTCCTGTCCTAGTATCCATTCACACAAACCGTTCACGTAGGTGGCTCACTGCCTTTCCGTGTTCCTCTTTCCTTCGATATGTCCAGTGAGTGTCAAATCTTCTAAGCCTGTCATCCTCATTAAGCATGTCAAGATATTTCAGCTTTATCTTTCTGATTTTGTTTCAATATTCTTCAAGACTTTTCCATTTGTCATATTCTCAGCATCGTTCTGTAGAAGCACTAGGAATTAAAAAGTTTTGAGAGGTCAGGAACCAAATTCATTCTCTTTCTTAAACCTCTAACACTAACCAAGGGTATATAGTACCCAGCACAAATTTTCCTATTTTTAATTACACTTTTCAGTACTTGATTTTCTTACCTAAATAATGTTTTTCAGTTCCTATTAATCTTAACTCAAAGTACAAAGTTTGAAGTGCCTACATGTAAAATATTTCAAATAAATATTTATATTTAATATTTCTTTTGATATTTTCAAAATCGGGTATGATATAGCCATGGTTAGTAATGGTGTAACTTTAATTGATGGTTAGTGTTCTAGGGTTAAGATCAGATCAAATAAGTAAGAAATTATCGCTATCAATATTGGGACTTATTAAGTTAAAAATATGATGATTTTCTAAGCGTAATTTAGATATGGCACAAGGCCGAAAGTATGGAGCACCCAGTGATGATTCAACTCACTACTCAGTCGTAATTGATCATGTGAGACATTGTACCACGTAGAAGTGCCCTAAATGATCTTCTAAGCATAGCTTAGATGTGGCGCAAGGCCAAATGTGTGGAGCACTCACTGAGAATTGAACTCGCCCAAGAGAATGATGTATAATTTTAAATATTCTTGACAAAAAAAAAAGAATAGGAAAAAACCCAAAAAACAAAACATCTACAACAAAAAGAAGAAACAAAAAACACAAACCGATTTTATCAATCTTATAAATGCCGGGAATTCTATGGGCATAATTTTGCTGTTTTTTTT